AAAAAAAAAAAAAAAAAACCTTCCAACAAACAAAAGCCCAGGACCAGATGGATTCACAGGTGAATTCAAGCATTTAGAGAAGAGCTAACACCTATCCTTCTCAAACTCTTCCAAAATACAGCAGAGGGGGAACACTCCCAACTCATTTCGCAACGTCACCATCACCCTGATACCAAAACCAGACACAGATGTCATGAAAAAAGAAAACTACTGGACAATATCACTGATGAGCATAGATGCAAAAATCCTCAACAAAATACTAGCACACAGAATCCAACAGCATATTAAAAGGATCATACACGATGACCAAGTGGGGTTTATCCCAGGAATGCAAGGATTTTTCAATATATGCAAATCAATCAATGTGATACACCATATTAACCAACTGAAGGAGAAAAAACATATGATCATCTCAATAGATGCAGAGAAAGCTTTTGACAAAATTCAACACACTTTTATGATAAAAAACCCTCCAGAAAGTGGGCATAGAATGAACCTACCTCAACATAATAAAGGCCATATATGACAAACCCACAGCCACATCATTCTCAATGGTGAAAAACTGAAACCATTTCCACTAAGATCAGGAAAAAGACAAGGTTGCCCAGTCTCACCACTATTATTCAACATATTTTTGGAAGTTTTAGTCACAGCAATCAGAGAAGAAAAAGAAATAAAAGGAATCCAAATCAGAAAAGAAGAAGTAAAACTGTCACTGTTTACAGATGACATGATACTATACATGATTCTGCCAGAAAACTACTAGAGCTAATCAATGAATTTGGAAAAGTAGAAGGATACAAAGTTAATGCACAGAAATCTCTTGCATTCCTATACACTAATGATGAAAAATCTGAAAGAGAAATTAAGGAAACACTCCCATTTACCACTGCAACAAAAAGAATAAAATACTTACCTAAGGAATAAACCTACCTAAGGAGACAAAAGACCTGTATGCAGAAAACTATAAGACTCTGATGAAATAAATTAAAGATGATACAAACAGATGTAGAGATATACCATGTTCCTGGATTGGAAGAATCAACATTGTGAAAATGACTAGACTACCCAAAGGAATCTACAGATTCAATGCAATCCCTATCAAACTACCAATGGCATTTTTCACAGAACTAGAACAAAAAATTGCACAATTTGTGTGGAAACACAAAAGACCCCAAATAGCTAAAGCAATCTTGAGAAAGAAAAACGGAGCTGGAGGAATCAGGCTCCCGGACTTCAGATTATACTACAAAGCTACAGTCATCAAGACAATACGGTACTGGCACAAAAACAGAAATATAGATCAATGAAACAGGATAGAAAGCCCAGAGGTAAACCCATGCACATACGGTCACCTTATCTTTGATAAAGGAGGCAAGAATATACAATGGAGAAAAAACAGCCTCTTCAATAAGTGGTGCTGGGAAAACTGGACAGCAACATGTAAAAGAATGAAATTAGAATACGCCTTAACACCATACACAAAAATAAACTCAAAATTGATTAAAGACCTAAATATAAGGCCAGACACTATAAAACTCTTAGAGAAAAACATAGGCAGAACAGTCTATGACATAAACACAGCAAGATCCTTTTTGACCCACCTCCTAGAGAAATGGAAATAAAAACAAAAATAAACAAATGGGACCTAATGAAACTTCAAAGCTTCTTCACAGCAAAGGAAACCATAAACAAGACCAAAAGACAACCCTTAGAATGGGAGAACATATTTGCAAATGGAGCAACTGACAGAGGATTAATCTCCACAATATACAAGCAACTCATGCAGCTCAATATCAAAAAAACAAACAACCCAATCCAAAAATGGGCAGATGACCTAAATAGACATTTCTCCAAAGAAGATACACAGATTGCCAACAAACACATGAAATGATGCTCAACATCACTAATCATCAGAGAAATACAAATCAAAACTATAATGAGGTATCTCCTCACACCAGTCAGAATGGCCATCATCAAAAAATCTACAAACAATAAATGCCGGAGAGGGTGTGGAGAAAAGGAAACCCTCTTGCACTGTTGGTGGGAATGTAAATTGATACAGCCACTATGGAGAACAGTATGAAGGTTCCTTAAAAAACTAAAAATAGAACTACCATATGACCCAGCAATCCCACTCCTGGGCATATACCCTGAGAAAACCATAATTCAAACAGAGTCATGTACCACAATGTGCACTGCAGCTCTATTTACAATAACCAGGACATGGAAGCAACCTAAGTGTCCATTGACAGATGAATGGATAAAGAAGATATGGCTCATATATACAATGGAATATTTCTCAGCCATAAAAAGAAACGAAATTGAGTTGTTTGTAGTGAGGTGGATGGACCTGGAGTCTGTCATACAGAGTGAAGTAAGTCAGAAAGAGCAAAACAAATACCGTATGCTAACACATATATATGGAATCTAAAAAAAAAAAATGGTTCTGAAGAACCTAGGGGCAGGAAAGGAATAAAGATGCAGATGTAGAGAATGGACTTGAGGACATGGGGAGGAGGAAGGGTAAGCTGGGATGAAGTGAGAGAGTGTAATGGACATATATACACTACCAAATGTAAAATACATAGCTAGTGGGAAGCAGCCGCATAGCACAGGGAGATCAGCTTGGTGCTTTGTGACCACCTAGTGGGGTGGGATAGGGAAGGTGGGAGGGAGACGCAAGAGGGAGGGGATATGGTCATATATGTATATGTATAGCTGATTCACTTTTTTATACAGCAGAAGCTTTACACTATTGTAAAGCAATTATACTCCAATAAAGATGTTAAAAAAAAAAAAAAGAAAAGGGAACACTTGTGCACTGTTGGTGGGAATGTAAATTGGTGCAGTAACTATAGAAAACACTATGGAGGTTTCTCAAGAAGTTAAAAATAGAACTGCCATACAATCCAGCAATTCCCCTTCTGGTTATTTACCCAATGGAAATGAAAACAGGATGTCAAAGAGATATATGTACTCCCATGTTTACTGCAGCATTATTCAAAATAACCAAGATGTGGAAACAATCTAAGTGCCCCTAAACAGATGAACAGAGAGCAAAAACATATACAATACATAAATAATAATGTATATAAAATATTACTCAGCCACGAGAAAAAAGGAAATCTGCAGCAACACGATGGACCTTGAGGACACTAAGCTGAGTAAGGTAAGTCAGACAGAGACAGATATGATGGCACTTACATGTGGAAGCTAAAAAAGCTGAACCCGTGAAATCAGAAAGTAAAATGGTGGTCACCAAGGACAGGGGTTGGGAGGAGGGGGATAATAAGAGGAATACTTAAGGTACAAACATGCAAATAAGACCTGGAGGTCTCGTGTACATTATTGTGATTATAGACAATGATATTTTATTATAAACATCAAATTTACTGAGAGACTAGATCTTAATTATTCCCATCACAGAGAAGAAGTAAATAAACGACACTGTAGAGGTGTTAGCTAATGCTACAATGGCAATCATATTGCAATATATAAATGTATCAAATCAACATGTTGTACACCTTAAACTTAAAAAAAAATTAACAATGGTAACATTTTTAAATGTTTCTGCCAGAAAAAATCTGCATAAAATATATAAAAGATTTTCTGTTAAGCATTTTGCTACTCATAAAAAAAATATTCCTAGAAATTTCAGTTAGCATGCTATTTTCAACCAAGGAAAATTTTACTTAAGGTGGTTTTCCCGGATTTAGTTGCCCTTACTTCCTGACACAAGATTAAATTCTCCTTCTGTGAAAAATTTAACTAAGTACATGTTTCTTATGCAGTGTGATTTGTCACATTGCTCCATGGATTCATGCCACAATATAGAAATATAAAACTGGGCCTTGGGACTTCCCTGGTGGCGCAGTGGTTAAGAATCCGCCTGCCAATGCAGGGGACACGGGTTCGAGCCCTGGTCCGGGAAGATCCCACATGCCACCGAGCAACTAAGCCCATGTGCCACAACTACTGAGCCTGTGCTCTAGAGCCCGTGAGCCACAACTACTGAGCCTCCGTGTCACAACTACAAAGCCCACGCACCTAGAGCCCGTGATCCGCAACAAGACAAGCCACCGCAATGAGAAGCCCACGCACTGCAACAAAGAGTAGCCCCCGCTCACCACAGCTAGAGAAAGCCCTCGTGCAGCTATGAAGACCCAACGCAGCCAAAAATAAATAAGTAAATAAAACTGGGCCTAGTCCAATGCAACAAAAATCAAAAGGCTAACTTCCCTTCCCTCTGGTTGATGTAACCGTAACCCTGGGTTGTCAGCAAGAGACATCTATTTTCTGTTACTATCTGAGAGAAAAGAGAGCACACCCAGTAACTAATTTTCAAAAAACACTTTTTTAAAAGATAACATTATATCTGTCTCTCAAGATAGGTTTAAAAAAAAAAAATGGTTCAGAGACAGTGGTCACATTTCATTTTGCCCAAAGATGACTAGACTCTGATGCACAGAATCTGTCAGATAGCATTCATTTTACTTCTCAGTCAGATGGAATTTAATACATTTAAGAGCAAGAAAAATAATCAAACATACTGAGAGACGGACTAAAAATTCAGACCTCTGCGGCCTAGAGTACTTTCTTCATGCCTCAGTTTCTATATCAGGGAAATGGAGGAGGTTATTTTTGTTGTTGCTTAGACTTTGGTGAGAATTTGCTGTTACTCATAAAACATATTCATAAAATATTTTTAAGTGACAGTCCCATATGATGTTACAATTTAATACTACCTTCCTTTCAAGTATTGCTCTAGAGTGAACACTGAATTCAAGAGAAAGAAATAAGCACATTTTAAAATATACATATTCTTCGCAATATAAAACCAAAGCATGAAAAAGCAAGGTAACATCTTAAAAGCAAGTTCACGTGGTATAATGTCACCTATATTATTATAAAAATAATTCGGTGTTCTCCCTGAGGTGGCCACAAAAAAAGCAGTGCAGACAGACAAAACAAAAAGAAGAAAAACAGCTGTTTCTCACTTGCAGTTAAAGAAAGAAAAGCTCCTCTGGTCTCAGGTTCTGGTGGCATTTCTTGCTGGTTTATCAACTCAAGGATCTTTTCCTCCTCTTGGCTGGGTGTTGCAGACATACCCGCTGGGTTTTCTCTGCCAACTGAAATTAAGATTTTCAAAGATTCTACCCTCTCAAAACCACTTGTTTCTTCTCAGAAAACCACCATACGTTCAGCTCTGCAAGTTTAAGTTTTGCTATTGTTTCCACCTCAATGCATAGTCAAATCTCTTTACTCTGTATTACACAGTGACCAGAAAATGATTTTTTATAGCAGCAGGTTGCACATGAGTGGTATTCCTATTAAATCTATTCACTGCTTTGTAAATCCAAGCAATAATTTAATGCCACAGTGTGAATCAGATGACTTATTCAAGATGTTTTTCTTATAGGTTCTAAATTGGAATTCCTTTGATAATGTACATTGCTTTCAGCAAAAGGGAAAACTGACGAACACGTCATTCAAACAATACTTCATGTGACTCTACTGAAATGTGAGAATAAAGAAGTATACATATAAGTGAAGAAAGCATTAGCTATTTTTCTGCCTTTTATTTAGAAGCAAGCTGTTTCGGTGTCTTGTTCAAAACAGGATGTCTCCAACCTAGCTGAATAATGAGTCCAATTTCATAGTATATGCTCACGAGCGCTATCTGTATTTAGGATTTCAAAGTTCAAGTTGTCTGTGTCTCATTTTTAATGACCAGGCATAGTACAGCCATTGTTTAATGGTAGTAATTCATACTATGATTGTCAGACTTTAGAGGCCTCATCAGGGACAAAAAACTATACAGATGTCTGATTGTACATAATAATAATAGCAGCCACTTCTTAATACCACAAGGCAGTCAATAATTTAAGGTGATTCATAAAATGTATGTTGGCGTGAAAAGGCATAACAGCCTCATAGGTGTGGCTAATGGGAATCAGCAGCACTTAACCATGCAGAATGCTGGCAGACACCATACACTACTAGTGCCTGAAGGACTGTGCATGACCATATTGTCATTTATATCCTGCAAGGATTATATCACTTCAGACAATAATAAGCTCTTAAACATCAAACCCTATAAAACAGAAGTTTTTCCATGTGGTTTATTTATAATGCAAGACATAGACACTGGAGATGAATGCTAATAAAGGAACTTTAAAATATTACAAGGAAGATCAGAAATAACTAGAAATATGTCCACTTAGGGTAAACAAACACTTGGAGAGGAAAACAATCAAAAAAGATTCTAAATATAATTTAGGGTCCACTTTATTGTTGTCCTATTAAGGAACCCATGATTAAGTGTCTATGTTATTTATAAATAATGTAGAAACCCAGGATTTACAAAGACAAGATAAACTCTTGCAGTCACTGCCGTAAGCATAGGAATAAATCAACGCACAAGACATGGCTTTGACATTGATGGGGCTGCAGCCCAGAAGGAGAATACGTGAACAATGACCTCTGGTATGTACTGATGAGTGCTATAACAGACACATGCACAGAGTCCCTAGGGAGGACAGAGAAGAAAACAATTAATGTGACCATCTAGAAATTAGAGGCAGGCACAGAAAGGGTTGCACAACAGGGTCGACCTAAGCAGACTGTGATATGGGATAAGCATCTTTCCTCTCTCTACCACCCCCCACCACTGGCTGCTCAAGATTCTGCCTCACCCTCAAAAACAATGTCAATATTTTATTATAAACATGATAGTTGCTTTAATAGAAGGAAATTCAGGGTTGGAAGATCTTTTCTGGAAAGGTCTTTCAGGAGGTTCCTGTCCTCTGCAGAAGGCTGTATGCTCCGCCTTGGGGCCAAGTAGGTTACAGATGGAGGTCCAAAACCCAAGTACCAAATGGCCCTCCAGTGGATTCACAACCGACTCTGAATTGGAGTAACTCTTACCGCTATGCTCTTTGTCTCACTTTCACAGTTGATAAAGGAATGTGAAAATATATCCACTATAACATAAAATAAAACCTGTGATGAAGGTCAAAAAACCAGAATTGTCTAGCTGGAAATACTATCAAAATGTATGTACAGTATTACACATATGGCTGGAATTAAATGATTCATTTATCCACTTCTGCTAGTGTCTCATTATATGCAAAAGCTTAATAGTATCAAGATCCACCAGACAAAACAGCTGCAATTCTACAATGTGAACCAGTAAAAAAAAAAAAAAACTTTTATTTAATACCAGCTATTTAAAAATTAAAACAGCTAAAACTTACAAAACAGCAATGAGTCATGTTATTATGGCATATGTATTTTCAATCCAGGAAGTCTATTTTATTATCCAAAACATATTTTCCCATATTTTCCAAAATAAGAACATAATATACATACTCAAGATCTGATGAATCAAGTATATAACAGTATTTCATTTAGATTTTGAAACATGAGTGATCTTAGAAGACTAGCATGAAGCAAAAATGAATTTTCCAAACATATTTCAATAAAAACTTCCATAAGTCTTGAACCTGAAATTCCTCTTAGTGCAATAAAAAATGTAACATCTGAACCATATCTTTGGTGCTGCATTTTTTCATGTTACTAATACCCAGAGCCTCACAATTTGTATACAGAGGATGCCTAATACCGTAAAACTGGGCTGGAATTGGAGCAAAAGGATTATTATGCATAATTACTGTGCATAATTTAAGGCTCTGTTATGATACCTATAAAACTCAGATATGTTCACTATTACCTAGATGTTCTAAAAAAGTAACAGGACATTGACGTTAAGGAAAAGTCACAAGTTACGTCGATTAAACATTCTTTAAATGATACCTGGCACAGTGTGGTCTTATATGGAATTATAAGGATGGGCTTATTATCTGGAACAGTAAGAACGAACAAAACTTTCAAATCATCCATATACCCAGATAATGCATTGAGAACCATCTCCATGGGTGCAATAGCAAGCACATGAAGTCAGATCTCTTCACACTTTCTCCTATACATAAGGTTCATAGTACTGTAAATGTAAATTTATGAAAGAGCAAATGAAGAAGTTTTGCTGCACCAGCTAAATAGTAGTGGAATAAATGGCTTTTATTATAAAGTCTCAATACACAATTAATTAATTAAACCAAATCCTAACCAAATTGGAGGTGAAGAAACCAAGTCACAGAGAAGTTAAGTAATTTGTCGAAAAAAGATTAAAAGAGGGAATGAGAGGTATCTCTTGTCTTCCGAGAACCTATAAAGTCTATTTAAGTTGTAAAATACACACCATAATGAAGTAGAGCAGAAACCAATGGAGACAGAACAGAAAGTCAATAGAGAAAATCAATGAAACGAAAAGCCGGCTCTTTGAAAAGATGAATAAAATCGATAAGCCTCTAGTCAGGCTAACTAAGAAAAAAGTGAAAAAACACAAATTGCTAACATCAGAAATGAAAGAGGGGGCATCACTATATATCCTATGGACATTAAAAGGATAATAAAGGAATACAGTGAACAACTCTATACCCGCAGATTTGATAACCTAGACGAAATGGAGCAATTCCTTGAAAAACACAATTCGTTGAAGTTCACACAAGAAGTAGACAATTTGAACAGGCCTGTATCCGTTAAAGAAACTGAACCAATACTTGATAATCTTCTAAATCAGAAAGCATCAGGCCCAGATGGTTCGTTGAAGAATGCTATCAAACATTTAAGGAAGAGATTATACCAATTCCAATTATCCAAAATTTCTTTCAGAGGATGAAAGCAGAGGGAATACTTCATACCCATTCTATGAGGCCAGCATTACCCTAATAACAAAACCAGACAAAGACATCACAAGAAAATAAAACTATAGACCAATACCTCTGATGAACACCAATGTAGAAATCCTCAACAAGACATTAGCAAATTGAATCCAACAATCTATAAAAATATTAATATACCAGTATCAAGTGGGATTTATCCCAGGTATGCAAGGCTGTTTCTATATTCAAAAATCAATTAATGTGAGGATTCTTAGGTCAGTGAAAATATTCTGTAGATACCATAATGATTGATGTATGTCATTATACATTTGTCCAAACCCACAGAATGTACAACACCAAGAATGAACCATAGTGTTAACTATGGACTTGGAGTGATTATGGTATGTCAATGTAGGTTCATCAGTTTGTAACAGATGTACCGTCTGATGGGGGATGTTGATGGGAAAGGCTATGCATTTGTGGGGCAGGAGGTATAAGGGAAATCTCTGTACCTTCCCCTCGATTTTGCTGAGAACCCAAAACTGTTCTAAAAAAATACAGGCATACTTCATATTATTGTACTTTGCTTTACCGCACTTTGAAGATACTGCATTTTTTACAAATTGAAGGTTTGTGGCAACCCTGCATTGAGCAAGTCTATTGGTGGCATTTTTCCAAGAGCATTTGCTCACTTCATGTCTCTGTGAAACATTTTGGTAATTCTCACAATATTTTAAACGTTATCATTATCATTATATTTGTTATGGTGATCTGTGATCATTGATCTTTTTTCAATTTTAAATCAGCTTTATTGGGATAGAATTTACATATAATAATTTCAATGAGTTTTGTCAAATAGTACCATCATGTATTTGCATCTAATCTAAGGATAACCTGTAAGATCTAAGCATGATACCTAATAGTCCAAACTCAGCACAAGAGGAAGCTCTCTGTACAGCCAAGACAAACGAGAACCTTTAGGCAATTCGCCACAGGACTGACAACTAGTGCCAAAGGCCCACTTCTCATTGCTGAGACTGCTAGTATCGCTATGGGACATTCAGATTTAAAAGGTCTATTGTATCTAAATTGAGCAAACAATTCCTCTTCTGGTAACTTATGCTAAGAAAAAATCTCAGTCTACTACAAAAATATGTATGTACATGAATGATCTTCCCAATATTGTTTATAATAACAAAAAATTAAACAATAAAATATCCAACATCAGGGGATTGGTTAAATAATTTGTAATAAATGCATCAATGAAACTCATTTGAAAATATGGTATAAATCTATGTGTATTGATCAAAATCATTTTTAAAATAAAAAGGCAGATAAAATTGTTTTACATATACAAGACTGCAGCCCAATTTT